ATATACTTGAAAATGTGATTTCTATACTGCTCAATCGAATATATTAATTTCTACGAAAATATTATTGACTATTCGAATGTCACAATTAATTAAACTTTTTAAATTATAATTATATTTTTGATAACGCACAGTATAAAAATATAAAAGTGCTATAACAGATTAATATTCTGAAGGACTGTATAAAATATATACAAAATATAAAAAAAAGTTACATATTTTTTTAAAAATGCGTTATTCTAAAAAAATCTAGTGACAATAAGATAAACAATGAGAGGTTTGAGTGAGAGCTTATTATCCTGTTATTTTTTATCTTAATAGTAATAGCAAATAAAATTTCTTGCATGCGTATGTGAAAAAATCTCGGAATACTTAATGATATACATTTATCTTTTCTGAAAATCATCAAAATGTTAATTACATTTATTTATGTTTGCAATAAATGAAACAATAATTGCAAATAATTATCGGAGAAAAATATTGATTATCTTTTAAACGAACAAGATAATATAGCTCGGAAGTATTATTAAGAATTGCGTGAGGATGTGTCCGATGGTGATTATAAATAATGATGACTTGTCAATAATATTGTGAAAAAAAAGGAAGGTTGAGATGTCAAAGCATATAAATAACTTCGATGTATATTATTTCAGTTTAGTCTATCATTGCAATGAGTGAAAATCACAACGATTCACACGATAACGTCGGTGTTTGAAAACATTCTGTTCTACGTAGTTGTTAAAAGCAAATTGGATGGTGTTTTACTTTGGTGCCGTACAGAAAAGGTACTATATAAAACTAATATACATGTATATTTTTGTTTTTAGATTTTAACTGAAAGTTCTAAATAAAAATTCCTATTTATATATATTTATTGCTATAGATTATAGACCGCTACTAATATAGACTGTCTTTATTATATCTTTTTTTAAATAATATTGTTTCAAATTTTTGAAAAAGGTTTTGTAAAGGTTTTGAAAAGGATCAAAAATTGATGTTTAATAAATACTTTCTTTCAGAAATTGACATAATCATTGAAAACTACTAGAAATGTTATGAACATTATGATAGAGGAGATAAAAATAAAGATCGAATAAATTTAGAAATTTACAAAAGCATATAGAACAACATAATATTATCAAAAAGATGCTCGTCGGATAATTATTGTCATTTAATTAATTAATTCGCCGAGAAAAAAAATCATAAAAAAATCTTTCAAGATTCCTTCTGATAAGAAGATAAATATGTCTCTCTTTGATAAAGAAATAAAAACATGTTGTAGCTTAGGAAAAATAGATGTCGGTTTTAGTATCTTGTTCAATCAAGAAGATGTAAATTTTTATCGTATTTACATATAATTCAATCATCTTTTAAATTTATGTTTTAAAAGAAGTAATGGTATGTAATAATACCAATAAAAGAGAGATATTATCACTAGTATAACATTATTAAAAATTTGTTTACGCTGCAAGTCGATGAATCTAATCTTTTATCTTTTATTTTACAGATAAAGAGAATATTTTTTTATAAACACATATTTTAAAATGGCATTCATTACGGCTTACTGGGGTCTGGATGGCATGATAGCTCTAACGGCTCTCATCATAACTGCCTATCTTTACATGACTCGCAAATTCAATTATTGGAAGAAACGGAACGTTGTGGAAATACGGCCGACGCCATTCTGGGGCAATTTCATGGATTGTGCGCTTTTAAAGAAATCTCCTGGCTATTTCATAAAAGAACTTTACAATCAAGCAAAGGGATTACCTTACATCGGTTTCTACATTTTAGACAAGCCTTTCTTGTTGCTTCGCGATCGGGAAATCGTCAAGAATATTTTAGTAAAGGACTTTAATTATTTTGCCGATCGATATGGCTCGCCTGATCCGAATGATCGTATAGGTTATGCTAATCTCTTCTTCCTGAAAAATCCAGCCTGGAAGGTGTTACGAACAAAGTTGACGCCAATCTTTACATCTGGCAAACTAAAGAAAATATTTGAATTGCAGATTGAATGCGCTACGAATCTAGACACGTATTTAGAATCCTTGAAGGTGGACGGTATGTGTTCAGAAATATTTATCAAATATTATATATAATGTTGAGACGTAAAGAATTTTACGAAAAAAATTGCGATAAATAAATCGATTTCTCTGTTCATTTCGCATATTAAAATAAAAGTGATATAATAAAATACAAAATATATATTTCATACGCAAGACATTCGTACTTTTCTCAATTATGTTATATAAATTATCTTAATATTTATAAGAAAAATGAAAAGATAATCGAGAAAAGAGAAAGTGATTTAATAAATTATAAAATATCTTATATAAAGTATTCATATATACATCTCTTGATTATGAATTAATGAATTACTTTAATATTTTCATACAAAAAATAATAAATAAATTTCATTTATAATTTTACACAATTTTACGCAATTTGATGCATCTGCAATTTTCTACACTAAAAATAATTGTAGTTATCATAATTTAAAAAATATTTGTGGTGCCCACTATAAGATTATTATCAACATTATATATATATAGTAGTAATAACTATAAAAATAGAAATCTCAACTATAAATATTTTATTATGCAA